ATCAATCGTGATTCAATATCGAAAAGTCCGGTGTTGCTTTTGTATAAAAAGTAACTGCAAATATTAACACTGTGAATTTAATCGCCCTAGATGCACCGGATGTGCATTTGCATGTGCAGTGTTCATTTTCTCACGGATGGCTGACTGGGAAAAATCATTTGCAGAAATGTGGGAATAAAATTATACGTTTAATTATACAAATAAAGTAAAATTAGTATAAACGCTATTATCAGCCGCGTTAATGTATTTAAAAGCATTGTGAAACAAAGATGAAAGAGGCAGAACACCATTTTAAAGTTTCAAATGAACATAAATTTAAAATAGTATCGTAACGATTAAAAAATATAAACACACAGGAAGTCAGAATTTATTATTATAATTTTGTATAGCCAGTTTATTAATTATTTAAATTTTCAGCATACACGATATATGATGGTTCGTTCAATAAAATTATCTGAAATATTAATGAATTTAATAGAACCTCGAAACACTAGAGAGAGAAAGAAGCAAAGGACCAGTTATTAATTGTTATTAAACTTTCTATTATTATTTTTTATTTAATATTCTTCCTAAGTCTTCTTATACAGTTTAAATGTTTTACATTATGATGACTTAAACTTTTACTCTTACCACCAATTTAAATTAATGTAAATTCACAAACTTTTGCAAATCTTTTTAATTGGCTTATATTTTTATCTTATAAACATTTATATTCGTATATATAATATAATATGTAAATATATAAGATATATAAGATATATAAGATAGAATATGCAAGATATACTTAAAAAATTAAAAGTTTTAATTGCAACTAAAATTTGCAACTAAAAGTTTTTACCTAAACGTGAATCTGACAAATCAGAATGTGTGATATTTGTAAAAGATTTGTAAAAGATTTTGAAAGAGTAATGCAATTGTCAAATGGTTAAAAAGTCCAGAGTCCTTTTTCGTTTGTGTGCACGGTTTTAATGCTTTTAATACCCGCCGATGCGATGAACCGTCATGAATATGCGCATTAAGCTCACGGAAAATACGAATGGAAGCCCTCTTAATAGAATTTAATGTCATCAACCTCGCTTCAGCGTTGAACTTATGTGGGACGCGTGCGGAGTAATTAAATGTTCCGCAGCAGTTGCAGCTGCAAAATTAACGATTTTTCGCGTAGGGCATTAAACGCGCCTATTAGAAGTGATAAGCGTATAGTTATAGCCAGTTATAACCGCTATATGCATAGGAAGTAGGTATAACAATTTTTTTCTCAAAGGAAATTTTGCATAGAAAAGCATTTTCAAACCAAATTAAATATATACGTATGTAAAATCGATCTGAAAAAGTTAAAAGTTGTATGTAAAATAAGACAGATCTCCAGCTGTATTTTTCAAGTGTAGAAAATGCAATTTTCCAGAATGCAATTTTCCAGAATCTATAACAAAGTTCCAAAGAAGGAATTTCATAAAAGTGCAATTTGTGCAATTTACCAATGAAAGAATTTCACGCGTGAGGAAACAGTACAAAATAATAAAATGTGCGTTTTCTCTGGATTCTACAGCATGCGACGCAATACATAATACCATGTTTTTAAATTTGAATTGTATTCGGAATAAGTACAGCGATTTTGAATAATATTGCATAGGGCACTTTTTTTAGTTATTTACGATTTGTATTTTGTTTAAAAATTGCAACGAACAAATAAAACTTTGCAAAAATAACGACACTCGTTTCAACGGTCGCATAAACGCTCTTTGTCCTGAAATTTCGACCAGGATTGAAGTTGTATCCGTGATATCGTATCCTTCCGTCCTCGAATTCCTCCAGCCTCGGATTACGTTGCACGGCAAAATGAAATTTTTCTTTCTATGGGCAAATGTCAACAATTCTTATTGATTTCCCAATTCCCGTAGTATAGTAAATATTCTAAATAAAAAAGAATTGTCATCAAAGTGTCAAATCAATCAAATTTAATATTTAACTCTCTTTCATAACTGAGCCTTACTGTTACGGTTATCAATTTATTCAATTCCATTCCAATTCGTTGTTATCAAGAATATTTAATAATATTCTATTATTATTCTATTTCTATTATTATATATTCTATTATTTGATAATAAATCTTGTAGTTCATGTTGGTTACTCTAGTTTAGTTTGCAGCTCCAAACTTTTGCTTCTGCCGATCCCCAAATTTATGTATACCGTTCTAGAGAGCGGAATTGCACGGTCGGAACACACTCGTCCTTCCAGGTTCCGATTTTCATAGTCACTGACGCTCCCAGGATTTGCAGTTCTGCCCCACGAAAAGCGGCATCGATTTCTTGGATTTGAATGCTCGGCAGTCCGGGCACGAATTTCTCGCGTCACACCCTGTCGGCTTCCCGACCCTTGTCTCGAGTCCTTTCCAAAAGATCCTCACGCCGCGCTACGCTAAGAGATGTCATTTTCCCCTCTCTCACGCTTCACTTTTTTTTTTATTTTACCGCAGAAAAATCTCGGTCATATCCACCATCGTCGCGAGAGCGTCGATGTCCATTGTCATGCCAAGATACCAATGTTTCATGATTAATACATCCCTCGGGATCCAAAAAAAAAACTTCTCTGACAAAGACATTCCTCTTTTTAAATCTTCTTACTAAATAAATGTTGAAAAGACATTGTAGGAAATTATGAAAGAAATTTTTGCAAAATAATCTAAACATGCAACCTCTACGCAATTACTATGATCTGTTATACTTTAATAAATAGACAATCAAGACAATCAACTCTCTTTCTTAATTGATTGAACACATTGTTTAAGTTTTATGTTTTTATACCTTTCTAAGATTAATTGTTTATAGATAAAATTAATTATTTTTATTTTTTGGAATCTTTTTGATGCTGCAAATGAATGAAACTTCTTCTGTCTTAATGCTTAAAAGTGCTAAAATTTCATTCCCTTGCTAATAAACAATTTTATATCGTTGGATTAGTTTTCAGCGTCTTTGTATCGTTAAAATCTTAGATTAATGCGTGCTTGTAATTTTAACTGGCATCCTTGAGCTTTTGCACGGACGAGTCTTGGGAAAGATGCATCCTCGTGTCGCAAACGAGAAGACGTTCTCGGCGCGGATTTCCGCTCGGCGTCTTTGTGGCCGGAGGCGGCCAATTTCCACCCCTTCGAGAGATGGCACAGCTCCCCTCGCGTTGACTTTGCAAATATTTAACCACTCCCACTCCTCAGGCTTATCCTTAGCCACTTCTCCGTCCAATTATTCTTCGTATCTGCCCTAGCGAGAACGTTGTGCTTCTAATTTTTTACCATAGGAAAGTTTTCGGAAAATTGGATCTTTCTCAGGCGGAAAATAAAAAATTATATTTCTTAATATAAATCGCAATGTATAACGCTGTAAAAAAGTAATACATAAAATGATGTAAAAAGTTAAATAAAGCGCTAAAGAAAGAATAATATTGTACTATAATGACATTGTAAAAGATTCATTCAACCGCGCGATTTACCGGAAGCCAGAAATAATGTAGCGAGATAATTCGTATAGCTTCAGCATTAGAAAAGAGTTTGTTAACGAGTGTAACTATACAATAAAGTGCGAAGGCGATGTTGAATGCAGGAACGGAGAGAAATTTTGCGAGGAGAAACTCTTTGCGCAGCTGCGCCCTGTTTCCGGAAATTCTCGTTAAAAAGTTCCTTTATTTCACCATTCCTGCATTTTCCGATGTCCATCGTGGATTCCTTGCTGCGAGCTGCAAAATTGCACGATTTATGCGCACAAGCGAGCTTGTCAAATAAATCCCGCTAATTAATTGTGTCGTTATTTATCGACTGACATTTACATTCTGCGTTGATTTAGTAATCACTAATTTGTTGAGATTTACAGAACTAACAAACTCATTGGTCCATGTATTTTTTGCGGTTAATTAATTTCTAGACCAAAGTTACTTTAAAATTAACAAAGTAATTTATATGCGTTATTTTTTTAAATTATCATAAAAGTTGCTTTGAATAATCATGGCAAGTAAAATATTTTATGGTAACCAATTAAATATGATAATATATGTTATATAATTAATAAAGTAATAGAAATTATGGGTTAATGTAATAAATAAGCCTTGCTATATAATTTAGTTAAAATGATAATGATAATCTGACGAGACCATTTTATACATTAAATATTATGCATGTATGGAATTAAAAGAGGCTTATAAACGTGTTTACTGAACTTAATTAAAATGTACCATATATAACATTACACTAAAAATATAATTTTTAAAATATTAAAAATAAATATATAAATTATTAAATATTTAAATAATTTGCTACAATATAAACGACGTAATTAACGAAAAAATTAACGATTAATACGTCCATTATACAGATGAGAAGGTATTGTATCTTCTGAACAGAAAAAGCACAATGTTTTTAAAAATAAATCAGTTATAAATATAACAATCTGTTAAATGTGACAGTGAGTCAGTGTCCAATAATGAGAAGAAGTAAAAAAAGTCAAACAAAAGAGGTAATTTTAAATTAAGTTGGCGGAGTAATCGATAGACTGCAATGTTATTCTAAATTTAAATCAATAATTGTACAAAATGATTGATAAATTATAATAAGAAAGTTAATTAGAAATTGTAAAGAAACAATCAAGAAAATGATCGATATGGAGAAAAGAAACAATTATCACATAATTTTCGTAAAATATACCAATCTTTTCAAATGCGAGTATGAGAGAAGTCAATTATGATGGATATCCCAAAAAGAAGAAAGATAGTTTAAACAAGCGAGATCGGCTTGAAACCAAGCCGGAGATACGGCTGGACGACGTTTTCGCAAAATCCCGGACTCGAACCAACAACTCTCGCCGGTCGGTTTTAAGGATCGATCCCTCCTGCCGTATCGACCACGCCGGGATGCACTTCCGCCCATATCCTGTACCGAGTCTGGAGCGTTTGCGCGGGGCATGCGCAGCCGATGGTGAACATCGTTGCCTGACGCCAGTCTGTCGGGGGTCGAAGTGTCGGCTACATCGGTTCGGTTGGTTTTCGTCACATACCACGTCACATCCCAACGGCACTCTCACCCTTTCACGGTAATACCGTGCCCACCCCTGATCACGTCACGCGAGATTCGTCGCGGTGCATCGACCAGGGTCGACGTCAACGGTGCAGTGCGAGAGAGGGTGGTAGTTTGCTGCGACTAGGGATAGCCTGACGAGGGAAGAAACGCGGGGGTGGCCGCTTCGCTCTTGGCCCAATCCCACTACCACCTTTCTCTCGGATTTTTCGGTGCACCTCGGGGATAGTTGTGTTGAGGGGTTGCTACTAGCGAGAGAGTACGTCCGACTGGGGCAATTCGACAAAACTTAAATTACTTTGGCGCATCCGATAAATCGGCGTTATCGGGAAACGATTTTCCCAACACGGCAAAGTTTGAAGAAATACGCCGAACGGAGTGCCGGCGCGGGTCGCCGGGAGGGTGGTGAAGAGGCAGTGGAGCCCCTCGCAGAGCTATGTGCAAAAGGAATCCCGTAGTGCTTGATCAGTTACGATGAGGGAACGATGAACGCGCGCGACTGTTGTAGTATAGTGTTGTGCCGATGACCGCGGGGATCATCGTTCAGTGATCAGAAAAGTGTGAATTTAATGGAGTAATCAAAGATAGTCCTGATTTGTTTCTATCTACAAGTGTATCTATCTAGAACCCGTGGGAAATTAGCTGTTGATTAGTAGTGCGATTTTAATCTAACTAGGTTGAATTGAAAATTGAACATTTTTGTTAACTCAGCAAAAATACCGTCGCATCCTCTGGAAGATTTGCATTTTCCACTAAAGAAGTACTGAAAGGCTTGAATATAAGAATGACGCATTTCTTGAATACAACAAGCACAAAGCTGTCTGAATGCTTTTTTATTAACAACGGTGTGCGTGTCTTTGTGCGTATCTCTTTAAACGTCAAATAAGCTGAAGCAACTAATGGATTTTCAATTTCATCTATCGATTGCAAAGGAAATCTAAAGTTTTTTAAGGTACACAATAGTTTCACGTCGCGTCTTGCTTTTTTCAAGAATTGAGAACTGGAGCAACGTCCATTCCTTTATCCAGATGGAGATGTTTTTCAGCAAATTAGCTTTAAAAGAGAAAATCTATTTGCTGAAAAATTACATCAGTGAATATTCCATTTGATCGAGAAATTAGTTCGATGAATCACGAGATGAGAGTTAGATGTGACGCTTGTTAGTTTCGATCCGTCCAAAAAAATCTTGAGTGAGAGATCTTGGAAAATCATTTTCCTTATAATCTCTTCTTTTTTCTTACCAAGATGAAACGAATGGGTAAATATTCGAAAGACGGCTTGCTTTTGAGCGTGATTAGAGCCGGTGCATTCTATCTCTTTCGATACATTAAGCACGCCATTAGAAACGAGATCGTCTTTGTGTGAAAGATAAAACTTGTATGTATGAGCCACTTTTATATCCATAAACGTGGGTGAGAAACGGAGAAACGTCAAAAAACGAGATTACCTTCATAGACTGCGAGAAGACTGTTCAGTTTCTAACCGGAAGTTCCACTCTGGATGTTCCATTGCAATCTATCGCGGAAAAGTGTAAAGTTACCTCTTCAACAGTGTATAAATAAGTAGTTTACTAATTGTTTTCACTAGACGTCCAATGGTAAACTTATGACGATTTTTCCTACCTGTACAAAATTTCTATCGTTCAGTAAAACAACAAAACGAAGCAGTGAATCCGAAGACCATTAAAACTTATAATTTGTAATGCGAAGCTGATAATTAAATTTAAAACGATGATTTATAAAGAAGAAGATATACTGATCTTTGCCACCATATCGGCGAAATGTTTGAATATTTTTCTCCAACATTTCTAGCCGAATACATAATTAAATGTATAACTAAAAATATCTAATACAAGACGAACACAATCTCTACAATTTTCTTAAAAAGATTTATTCATGATATTTTCCACATTATAAATCCGCAGTCTTCCTTAAGTTAATTGTATCAAAATAAACAGTCAAAGGTGATTTGCAATCGTTTCTTTTCCTAAATTAAAAGAAAATGTAATCCAAGATTGTTATAATATATCAAGATTAACGTATTAAAAGAATTGAAAAACCTATTTCATCAGTGCTTTGTATGCATTATTAGAGCTCAAGAAGATCTCATTCAAGACAATAGTCTGTTTTAGAATCACCAAGTAGAATTAAGATCATGATCTTTCTAGGCTGAGCTATCGAAAACGCTATTGAAAAATAACAGCAACGTTTTATTTTCGATTAAGATCATCTCAAGTACATTGTTTGAGCCAAGCGAAATAGCCTAACAGCTATCGAATTGTTTTTTTTGTTTTTTTTTTTTTTACTTTGAAGAAGACTGATGTATCCAGGAGGTGGACAAGCTTTTGAAAATCGCGAGATGGATCAGTTTACGTACATTCGCATTTCCGGTGGCGGTTAAGACGAAAGTCACGGAGGGCGGTATGAGAGGCGTCGGAAAAACGGCAAAAAAGTGATCGGCGGAGGTGACGCCGAAGCAGGAGGTGACGCCGAAGACGTCGGTGATCGCGAAAGATGACGTCGCCGATCCTGGCGCTGCTCGCCTTGATCCTGGCGACCGCCGGTGCCGAGCTGAGCTCGAGGATCGTCAGGACTAAGTACGGCGAGCTGTCGGGCGTAATCGTTACCCTCGATCGATATCTCGAAGGTGTCGAGGTATTTCGCGGTGTACCCTATGCCTCGCCGCCGATCGGCTCGTTACGCTTCATGCCGCCCGTCAGTGGTGCCCTTTGGCACGGTGTGAAGGTCGCCGACAAGTTCGGACCCGTTTGTCCCCAAAAGCTGCCCGAGCTCAGCGATAAGATGCCCAAGGGCAGGGTAGAGTATCTCAAGAGGCTGCTGCCCTACCTCAAGAACCAGAGTGAGGATTGCTTATACCTCAACATTTACGCGCCGGTTCAAGGTAAGCCCTTCTGTTTTCTTTTTCTCGTTGAAGCAACAGAATTACAATAACTTATAATTTATAAGAAATAACATATGTTGTAATCTGAATTCAAAATTAATTTTTATTTCTTGATGCGTTTTGATAAAAATATATCTGTATTTATTTATGCTTATTATGAAACATCAAACAAACCGTACAATTAGAACATGTTAGGATTCATTTGCTTTGAAGCGCTCGGTGCTCTTTGATACTCATCTAGCTCAGTAATCAAGCTGTAGATTACATTTCAGTTCGAACAAAAATCAAACGCAAAAGGATTTGAAGGATAAAGTTCTATTATCAGTACACAATTTTCCGCGGAAAGGGATTCGATAAACGCGTCCATCCATGGAGAGATAATCCCGCATTGGGCGTAGTTTATTTTCCAGATATCCAATTTATCTGTACAAATTGTAACGTGCAATATAACGATCTCTTTTTATTTTGCCTGTAAACTTGTAATCAACACAACAGTAACGTAGAGCGTTTGCTATTGAGTCAAGTTGCAGTACACCGATCCAGTTTTGCATCTCGCCTTCAGCAAATGCGCATCGGTAAAATACTACTTCCGGCCAATTGCAATATGCGACGGACATCCATTTTGCGCAGTGTCGTGTTGTGTTTACGCTTTGTGACCATGAAAGCGGAATATCATCGCTTCCGGCGGATATTAACAATTTTCTCACACGAATCAACATAATTCGAGATTTTCAGATACACAGATATTGTAATTTTAAATAACACGGGACAAATACCGTTTTTACACGAAACATCATGTCAAAACACATATTTATAGCATATTTATAGCATATGTGAAAACAAAGACAACGAATTAAGTTTAGATATCACAAAATATCGAAAATTTTCACTTTCGAAGATTTCAAGATTTTAGTTAAAGTTACATTTTAATGTTCTTTACAGATTTATATTAAATTTTACATTTTTATAGTCAAATGGCGATTCAATAGTTGACGATATTTCATAATAACTGCATGCATTTTTCTAACGGAAGTCACCTCACCATAGAAAGAATACACGCTTTTCTTATCGTAGCACGAATCCCTGCGTCGTGAATGTGATCTCGTTAAAGCAGCCAATTATCTTGCGATCCCTCGGAAAGAGGCTCAAAGATGGCGAGCTCCTTTGTGTGCAGTCTTTTCTCGTTTCTTCTGCATAACGGACGTAGCCAAAGAAATCCGCGTCGATTCTTCGTCTACCTTTTATCGACGTTCCTCGACGACGAAAGCTTTCGCGATATTTTCCGCGAGTACATTAATCCTGGTATGGAATATCAAATTCGCACGAATCTCTTTAATGTCGAATAAATACGAAGCGAAGCATGTAGGATGAGCATGTTAATGTCAACATGATGTATGCATGTTTATAGATTTCTTTTTATAAAAGATATGATTAGTATTCTGTGATTTCTGATGGAAGAAATAGTGAAAGAATTAATATAGTGAATTTGAATTAAAATCTGGAATTTTAACTTGTGTGATAAAAATTTAAAGTAAAATGACTTGTATAAAATAGAATAAAGATTAAATAAAATATGATAAAAAAATGAAAACAATTATAAAGCAGATTGAAATAAAGTGGAATAAAATACAAAATAGAGAATAAAGAGAATTTTATTGTGATAAAGAATATTTAAATTATTTAAACCTGTTTCAGCATTTAAATGTAAATGTGCTCCCTTCTTTCCTATATAACGTTTCACAAGAGTAGGAAACATGTTCTAATACTGGCGGGCACTTTCGCATTTTCTTCTCCTTGTTGAGAGTTACATATAGCCGAAGTACTGCAAAGTTTTTCACCCGTGTATTGCAATGGCGGCTCGAGTACGCGTGTGGTGGTGCTACACGGGAACTTAATAAGAAACTTTATAATCACCTCGTGCTTAGAGAGATTAAAGCTCGCGGGGAGTAACTTTCCGCGCGGACTTAAGTATCTAAACTAGATAATAGTTTCGAAGCCTAGGCAAGCCGATCAATCTTTGCTACTCCGGGGGGCCAGATACTTCAAAAGTATAACATCAATTCAATTCTGGACTGTAGGAAGGTAGAATTTGCCTGCCTTGTATATCAGAATCTTCATCATCAGAAAATTATCTGTCGAAATGAACGAAAATTTGCGAAAATTGGCGTTCCTGAAATTTTGTACTATTTCAGAATAATAATTCAACAAGCGCCGCCATTGTCGCGCGGCCCAAACAAAGAATCCACGAGAGCGACCATTAATTTGCCGATTTGAATGGGAAGTGTTATTTTATAGTCTGCGTTCGTTTCCCATAAATCGCTTTGCAGCCGCGGAATTCGTGCAATCCTTTCCATCCCACTCGTTGGTGCGCCATTGCACTCTCTTGTGACATTATTTTCTACACACAGATTTTAAAAAAGATTTTGTTATGATCCTCCCTAGTTATCCGATTTACGGTCGAAAATTGATTGAGACAAACCTTTAGATACCACAATCATAATTGTGCGATGTTAATTTGATTTCTATTAATATAATTAATCTTTTAATATCTTGGCATTCTACTATTCCTTATTCTATCAATTATGTTTATGAGATTATAATACAATAGATACTATGTGTTGCATTGAAATGGATATTGGTTGCACCTTCAGATCGTAAATCGGTAGCTGAAGGAATTACGGTGTGAATACGTGACCCCGAGGACAATTGAAAAAGCTGCATTAAACATGACGGAAGATGATTTATCGAAGGTTGAAGAGCGATTCTCGCGTGTTATCGCTTTCTTCCATCCCCTTTTCTGTCTTTTTCCGTTACACACTAAATTCTATTTCGATATTGGATAGCAAAAGCCTACCGCGTATGTTTCCTCGTTCAAGTATCAAACGATCTTTGCATCGCGCGACGTTATCGTTGCCGCACTTCCACGATTCAGTGACAATAAATTTCTGAGGCAGGTAAAAAAGTGTAAAAAATAGTTTACTGTGTTTGCAGTTCTGGATACACACAAATTTACGTGGAATATTATGCGCATATTCGACTTTTAATATTTTTCTGTGTAAAACGTACAAGTACAATTTTTTATTTTTATTTCAAAAGTTATGTGTAATATTTGTTATATTAGTTTTTTTATATTTTATTATATTAACTAATAATTTTATTTTTTAACAAAATTTAATAATATATAAAAATGATATAAAAACCTAAATTTACATAAACAAAGATTTAATAATATTAAATAATCAGATATAATAAGAATATAAATTTTGCGAAGGCCTAAATATTAATTGAAAATGTTTAATAATTTAACAAGTAATATATATTCTGTAACGTTATGATATTAATAACATCTTAATTAATCGTTAATTATATCACTATAATTGATTGTACTATACACACACATATATATATATATATATATATGTATACACACACACACACACACACACACACACACACACACACACACACATACGTATAGTACAATCAATTACAGTCAATTAGTATTGTATGTAATTAACGATTAATTAAGATATTATTATTATCATTAACATTACTAGAATTGTAAAAAGTTGAGAAAAAGATTTAATCGTCATTTTATGAAATCTGCATTAATTTCTTATAATTAATAATCTGGTTTTTGTGTCAAAAAGGGAGAATATAGAATTAAGGGATATAGTGGGTGTCTAATCTCACAATATGTTAAAGGTAATTGAATATTAATTACAGATCGCCTCCCCGGCGGGATCGCAACACATTACATCGATTTCCTGGAGCGGGCTTTTAAACCTTATCGCGTGTAAACGATAATTATAGGATCAACGCGACGTAATCCAGTTATTAATTTAATTACGATCCCGCGCTAATTTCACGCCGCGCTGATCATTACACGGAGTATAGATTTAACGAATCAATTCCCACGTGTAATTCTGCACAATGTGTGTGCTAACACTACCAAAAACTTGATCCGTCAAACGCGAATTTCCCTGTCGCAACTTTGCATCGAAATTCGCAGTTATTATTTAACAATCATTACAAATCGCCGAGTCTACTGCCCTGAATGCCGTTGCAGAGTTTCATTGAAATTACAATTTCCGGCTTCGAAAGGTTTCCCGATGAGCGAACGCGAACTTTCGACACCGCAATTAACTTTAATTACATCCTATTCAGGAATTACTATAGACCGACGATTATGCTATCAGAATTCCGTTTCTAAATAATAATAAGAAGTATGCTTAAGGATTAACTTTCAATATCACGATATCACAAAATTGAACCGTTTCCAAGTTGTTCTATTTAATTGATATTCATTTTTGCTTTCTTTAGTTTACAAAAACAAAGTATATGATAATTAAGTATATTACAGAATCCTTTCAATCAACTGTAAAAGATCTCGTTAATTCAGCAACAGGAAAATTCAAAAAGTTTAACAAACACAGAATAATGATAAATGCAAATACTTGATTGTAGAAAAAGAATTTGAGATTTTAACAAATTTTATTCTATATAAATACATAAAGATCTCTGAGAAGCCACTTTCTCTGAGAAAATGCATTAATCAGCGAGATGTTTCAGCGTTTTCGTTTTCAAAGTTAAAAAGTTGTTATAAAGCAACGCGACTATGTGGGAGAAGCGGTGGAAAGGGAAAGTCTCGTAGACTACTTAATTATGCCGGGTTAGTAATGGAAATTAACGGGGATTAGTAATGGAAATCGAGGTGGTTCCTCGTCTGAAATTAATTCTGGTACTTCTTCTGCGCGAACTTCGTGAAACGAAGTACAGTCTCTAGCTGGCACATCTGTATATCGCATGGTTATAAATTGTTGCCACATATTGCCATGCCTTAAAGAAAGGTTCTGAATATAAGACATTAAGCCTCTATACAATATACAACCCTTTGTTCCATAAAGTTGTCTGCATTTCTCAACAAAAGGATAAGCGGTTTTGTAACAGACCATCTATAACATTATGGCAAATAAGATTTATGACAAATAAGAATAAAA